AGGTGAATCCTCCATTACCCAACTCAAGAACAGTATAGATATGAGCATAGAATCTCAACGAACCCCAAGAAAAAAAGGTTTATTTTTCCATTTCTGTCACCACAAATTCCTGGTTAACAATGCAGAATTCAATTCGTAATTAAAACAAAAGCAAGATAACCTGTAATTCTCTCCTAGGGTGAATGTGATGACATAAGGATAATACCAAGTTCAGTTTACAAATGACAAAAGATTCCAAACTAACTAAAATGATCATCCTTCCTGAAATTTCTCTTAAAAAGCAGAGAAGTAGAATCAATGCTGCCACCTAGTGGCTGCGAAACCAAGTAGCCTACAGGAGCAAAACAGATCATAGGCCCAACTATTTGGTTGCCCTGACTAATACATATCAGGCCACTTACTCCTTACCTTTTTGCAAAAATATCAAAACATATCCAAAGCAATCCCTCTTCCAGAGTCCTAGTGCAAATACTGGAATAGAGCAACCCAAGTCTGTCCTGTGACACCAACTACTTCACATGAAACTTTCCTCTGCCCATCTTCAGGTCAGTTTGCCTAGTCATATGGCCCAGAAGATATGATACAGGAGAACATGGACACATCTAAGATGTTCATCTGTTCAGAGTGTATACACAGTAATTTTGATGTCTGTTGCCTCAAATACCTCCTCGATCATGGCAGATACATTTTCCCATTGTAGACGATCAAGACCACACCCAATCCTGGGCATGGAGAGGTCCGTGACTCCATTCTTCAGGCAATGAGACTTCATGGCCTCTAAACTCTTTTGCAAGTTTTCATAAGTTGGCTTGTGTGAAGCCCTTTTCTTTGTAATCAAGTAATATATATATCGCCCATCTCTCTTCAGAACAGCCACTTCTCCAGATTTCTTTTGCTGATTTAACAGTTCTTGCACCCCTCCAAATTTCTTCTTGAAGAGAACAGCTATCCCAGCACCCATGCGACAATCCTCACTGATACAGTGGGCTAAAGAGTCTGTTTTGGGGCATGCAAAAAGGTCTCCTTTCACATAAGTGATTCTGCTTCCTTCTTGATCTTCATTAAGGCTGCTGGCCATGATACTGAGATGGCTATTTCCAGAATGTGTTTCTTCAGCTGGGTTACCCTTCACCTGCAAAAGAGTCGGCTGCTAGGAGGTCCCCGCCCCGCGGGGAAAGGGCTCCAGTTCCGACCCCGGTAGGTGGGGAGCGGCGAACCAGCCCAGATACAGAACCAATCCCGCTACAGCCTTTAATTCGGCTTGTTATTGTTAATTGCTTATTCCCCCCACCTTTTTTTGCTTATTTGTTTAATGACCGATTGGATTATTTTAGTGGAGTTTCCTTCCCACACAGTGTTAAGACTCTGACATTGATCCTCTTTAGGAACGTCCACAGTTACCCGAGGATGACAGTGCTTTCGTCTGGGCTCTTTTTGACAGTCTTCTTTTCCTCACCACATCCAGTCATCAAGCACCACTAATTCTGGGCTAATTGGTCTCTTGTTTTCAACAATGCCACAGGGCACAAATTTCTTCCCACACCAAACCAATGAAATTTGGGTTCCTTTGAAGGGGTAGTTGGTAGTTGCTGGGTTAGTGTTCAAGATTTCTTTTGGTCTTAGGCAGGCTTCTCCCATAGTCTTCTGCCAAGCTATCTCAGGGAAACCATTAGCTTATAGTTTAGTCTTTTTGTGTAATGATTCCACCAGTATCCTTTCAATTTTATCACAACCTCCGTTGTTCTAGAGAGCATCCGTAGGCTTGAACATTTCTACCCTCTGTTAGAAATAAAGTCAGTTACTCTGCAAAGCGATAAAGAACTATGTTTACAGGCTGCTTCTCCCACTCAGACAAAATCTCCAAGCCAGAGGCATAATAATGTTGTACTTCTCTCAGTCATATTCCCAATCTAGGCACTGAGTAATCCATGGATATGACTCCTCAGCTTACCTCTGCCACTGAGGAGCTTGGGAACTGGGACAACAGTGATGCTGTGCCCAATGTCGAGCCCCAGTTCACTCATTAAGGGCTGAGTGGAAGAGGGTAGCCCCTACCTTTTGGCTGTACTCACCTGGAACTTAGCTTCAGCAACAGGTAGCTGGGCAAAGCATGACAAATGATGTCTTACCCGTCCCAGGAATATAGCCCTCTAACTGGGAGTGGAGAGGAGGTGGGAGCCTTGTGCTCTGTGCTGTATCAGTCTGTAGCGATTCTTATCTCGTTACACTGGGAGCAGGAAGGGAAGGGGGGGGTTTGGGTTTAGATACCACAAACTCTTGCTATTCTTACTGAGCTCTACTAAATGCTCTTGAATAAATGTTTCTTCATTTGTAGTTGGTGGTAGAGGCGACTGGTTGAGAAGACAAGCTTTACAAACTGACTGGTGGGGGGATTCAAATCCTGGTTATGTACGTGATTGTGGCAAGTTACTTAACCTTTTTGTGCCTAATTACCTTATCTGCAGATTAGAGATAAAATTAAGAACTTACCTAGAAAGAATATTGAGAGGAATAAAGGAGTTGATGTACATGAAGCACACAGCAAGCCCTCTGTCAGTAGGAACTGCGATTATGAGGGTAAGATGCATTAAGAGAAAATTCATAGAATATGTGTCAGGGAGGCAAGGGTCAGGGAGGAGCAGCTGGTGGAGGAGTCTTGTCTGGGCTTATCCTGGGAGCATGGGATTCTGAGAGTCAAATGAAAGCCTCGTGTCTAATATCCCAGTGATACACGGAGGCTCAAACACTGGCAAATGCAGGCAGATGTTAGGTCTGCAGGGACCAAGGTCAGGGCTTGAGATTGACAGGACAGAGCCAAGAGTTTAGAGTGGAGCTGAGGTGAAAGTGCAGGCAAGGGCTGGGAGCCCACCTTTGTGGGCACTAGGTTGTGGTATGTGGGTGAGTTAGGCCAGTTAGGATGGAGCAAGTAGGACACAGGGTAAAGGAGGCATAGCAGAACTCCTATTGCAGTATTCCGGAAGGTAACAATCAACTTAATCTATTACTTCTAGTGCTTTATAATGAAAGAGAACTCTAGATAAGTGACAGTCATGAATTTACAAACAATATTGCAAAATCCATGAATTACAACTTTTGCTGGATTTCAACTCTTCACATTTGCAAGATGGTTAGCTTGTCAAAACATGCTCACATCTACTAACTCATTGGTTACTCCCAGCATCTCTT